GAAGATTTTCAATTGAGGTAAGTTTAGTAGTAATCTGCTTCATGGTCACCATTAGGTTTGCATCTACAGTGCCGGTTTGAGCGAATGGTTAACCTCAGCGTCCACTTGGTGCACTTTCGTTTGGGCCCATTACAGGCCAGGGCTTGATGTATTGAGATCTTCCTAGTGAGCTTTACTTGTTTACGCCAAATTCACGTTTCTGCTTTTCTGCTTGAGACTATTGTTTGTATCTGAATGACGTTTGTCATGGTTTCCCGTATTAAAATTCAATATCAACTGGTGGTCGTAAGTTTTTTAGGACGTACATTTGTCATGAACATCAGACGGGTTGGATCCAATAGTTATAAAAACCTGCGGTTAAGTGATGGAAACCTGAAACCTGATCCCCGGGACTTGAAGTAGCAAACCACTAGGTTATGGGTGGTATTGAACCGAATTACAGCGAAACTGCATACCGCCGAAGTTGGGTGGCCGTGGTAGGGTTCGAACCTCTGACCCTAGGGTTCAAAACACGTGTCTAAGTGACTTAACCACTGCGTCACCACCAATACATCCAGTGTGATTGCCCCATCTTTTTACATCGTCTTGTCCGTCTCACCCGTAACCTGAAACAATTAAATCCCCTCTGACAATCTGTGATCTCATTGGATTGTTTTCTGTGTTTTACGCAACTTGGAATCCTTCAGTCTGACACCAGACTATCTGACCACTCGTTTGTAATGTTTGTGATGCTCCTGTTGTCACATACTGTCCAGCCGTGTGATGATGACATTCCTTCTGGGCACATTCGAAGTCCACTGGGCATTCTAAAGACTCGAGTTCGTGAACAATGCTTGGGTTCTCGCTCGGTTTAGCTGGGCAAGCAACATATCCCCTATTGCTGAACCATCCGACCGATCGGTCGTGTGAGGATCGGACTTGCACTGGAAGATAGGTTATGCATCCTACGCTGCTTAAGCGTTGGAAGAGAATCAAAACAGGAGAATCGGTTATGGAGCGATGCGCCATTCGGGAAATTCGGAATTGTAAAATTTCATGCAATACTGACTCTGTGCCAATAATTGATTGGTCTAAAATACAGGAGATAGTTTTCTAAGCGGGTCCGGTAAACGGATGGTCATAATAAAACATTGGATTTGCCTTCTTTTTATCACACACCTAGGTGTGATGAACAACAGACGGGGTGAACCCCATAGTCACGAGGACCTGCTGTTCAGTGATTGAAATCGGCTACCTAAGCCCCGAGACTTGGAGTGGCAAACCACGTAAGGCCGCGATAGGTTAGGCATGGCAATGAACTGGACGACAGCAGAGCTGTCTACCAGTATCCAATATCCACTAATATAGACTCAGGATAACACGAAGCTCTCCTTGTTATTTCCCAAACTGGCTTTTTGGCGTTCAACAATCTTGCTAGCTATGTTGGAGATAGATTTTCGGAGCATAGAACAAATAGTATGTAAAATACATATTTGTTTTACAGAAGTTGTTCAGTGTGTTTTCCATCTTGCTGCTTGCATGGCAAAATACGGCGAAGATAGTTTTACTCCACCTTCAGAATAGTACGGGTACAGTATTTTCCTAAGGGGAACCGAGCATGTGTTACATCATTTATTTGTCTTGGGGCCTGCTCTTTTAGTTTTCTCATGAGGGATAAAAGGATAACAGAATTACGATCAGATGGTCATTGTATTGGTCGTCATCATGACTTGCTCACATACTCGTCGTCTATCGCTCCCTAATCGGGAACAAGGAAAACCTTTCGCTGACGGTGAAGGAATTCAACTATACTTGTGCAACAAGGGGCACCAGAAACGGTTCGGAAGTGCTAATAAACAAATTCAAATCAACCAGAAGTGTACACAATCGGAATGTACATCCACGAAAGACGGGTTAATGTGGTTTATTTAACGTGTTGCAAAGTGTACAACGAAGTCTTCGGACGACCACATGGCAAATTGTCCGTGAATGCAACATGTCACAGTATTCCGTACTGAAAATAACTGGCCCACCTTCAAAGGAGCCCAGCTACAAGAAATTCGGGCCAATGATCCTGGGAGTCAACTGGAATTTTGCACTTGGTGTCATGCAGGGTAAGATTGGGGTATTTCATGTTCCAATTTTAAGTTCACTTGTTCCTCCCCCTTGGTTTCTGAGTACACATGCAACATATAGGGTATAGGTGAATTTCGACATTTAACACATTTCCTGCGGTTCAAGGTTAATCCCGTTTGGGAGGAGAATACCTGGATTTGAGAAGGATTATCGGTGAAGGAGCCTAGATTAGAGGAAGAAGAATTGGGTTGGAACAGCACACCTGCATATTTCAAAACGCGTGCAGGAGAAACAAGAAATATCACAAATGTACGTGAAGCAAGTATGCGGATTGCACAGCTCCTCGAATAACTCCGGAATTATTGACTAAGGGTTTAGATTAAACCTATCCAAGTCCAGTGGCTTGTGCTGTATCAGTAAAATAGTTGAATAACCCAGTTAACCAATGCTTGAGGTAGTCAAACAATTCCAGTTTGTGACAAATTTGGTCGAGGTATGGAATCGAATGCTGAGGAGCAGTCAAGAAAAACACGCAGAACAGACTTAACAGATTCGTTCGAGGACTTGGTGATAAAATGAATAAGGTTGGGAACTGTGTCCAAAGTGGATCTATTAGACTTTTAAACAAACTAGTGGATCATTGGGAATGTTTGTGGACTTCTGAAGGCGTTTGAGGATACTCTTTTCAGACAACTTAAGGACTGAACATGTTAAGTCAATGGGACGACAACGAAAGCCTGGGCAAGTGCCTGACAGCTAAAGCATAATGGGACTTGCACGTTCCTTTTGCCTTCGCAAGGGATTACCTTTACACACACACACAGACTTCTAACAGGGCTGTAGTAATTATATTTGACATTAATTGTTTGTTGCCGTAAGCCTATATCATTGGATATTGGAGTCTGCACTGTAGACAAATCTAATTTTTGAATATGATATCCGTTCAACTGTGAACGATCTTTGACTTTTAATATGCTACTGGTTTACCGGATCCGCTTAGAAAATGACGCCTGTATCTTAGACCAATAAACTGTTGGTACAGACTCAGTATCGCATGAAATTTTACAATTCCGAATTTCCCGAATGGCGCATCGCTCCATAACCGATCCTCCTGTTTTGCTTCTCTTCCAACGCTTAAGCAGCCTACTACTCACAACCTATCCAGGACGATGTGAAACGAGGGGGTAATCTCACTGTACATTTGTGCCGTTTTCTCGGAATTATTGTCCACTGGAAGTCATTCTATTCTGTCTGCCGTAATCTCTTTCCTTCGCCGTTTTTTCTAATTAGATTCTCCGATTTGAATATTGAGTCAGATAACGTGGACGCAGATGCCATCTGGGCTCGTATGACTCTGAGAGAACGTCGAGATTTTCATCGGTTTTTGACTTCAGGTGCGGTAGCCAGTTATTTACCGGTGTGGGAACCTTGGTGGCTCCATTCAAAAGCAAATATTGAAGTAATTCCTTCTCAATCAGAGGCGGGAATAGCGAAAATTACTTCTAAACGAAATACTCCAATGCCTTTGAAGAAGATTTATCCTTCTGGAAAACTACCTCACAAATCGGTATCGTTCGTTTTAACTGAGGTAATTCTGGTGCACACTTTCCTTTGTCGGTAAGTTTTTTACTTTCTGAATCTTAAGAACACATTATCTGCCGTTTGCATTAGGCTGGAGTTTTCTCTGCAGCTGATTACTGGTTTAGCAATGGAGATTATGACGGTGCGCATAACATCGATCAAAACTGTCCCCTCTCTGCAGGAAAACTTTATTTAATAACGTGGGAACTTGTGACTCATATTTGTCCGCTTCATCGTTTGTCGTGTGTTGCTTCCAACTGTTGTTTCCACAATTTGAGTCTAAAAGTGACGTGAATGTCCCGAACTGGCGGGTATACGTGTTTGTATAGTCCATTTTTTGCATCCTACAGCCTTTTGAAAAAAATAACTCCAACTGATATACTCTGTATTCACGAGCACCTGATAGTATATCCCACCTGGGTGATGCAGAGCTGGTTCAGTTACACAGAACTTGAGCCTCTTGGGATAATTACAGTTCATTAATAAACGAGTAATATGAAAAGGGTGCATTTAAGACCCATTTCAATTTCCTCATAGAAAAAGGTAAAGGTCACTTCACTGTATTTCACTGTTCGATGTTGGAAGATGCCCTAAGTTGTCTGCTAATTGGAAGCCTTTACTGGGCTGTTGGATAAAAGCGTGGAGAGTGCACAAAGCTCACTGTGCATGCTGTTACTCCTTTCTGTTTTCGCTTTGCTTCTTCAAAGTACAATATGCTGCTATAGCAGCATAAGGTTGGATGCCATCTAATTATGTTTTCAATGTTGAAGGTTCACAGTTGCCCATAGTGCATTACTTCTGTTACTCAAATAATTGCGTGATAGATGACAATAGCTCAGTGACTGGATATCTGTCCGTGGTTGATTGATTGGAGACGCTGAAGGAAATGACAAAGAACAGAAATTAGTGGCATTCTCATCGTCATTTTTTATAAAGAATGAGTGCTCAAATAGGTATGTGCATTTTAGTTGTGTAATCTCTCTGTTGGTGAGGTTCACTTTCCTTTTCTCTCGGAAAATTAACCAACTTCGTGTCCACCTTGCAATTTCCTACTGAGTTACATACATTGTGTGTTTGAAAGCGGTCGACGAAATTCGCTTCACTGTATTTTTTCAATCGTTGGTAACTTCCTTTCTTCTTCCTCGACATGATATTTGTGCCACAAGCGGTTTGTTATTCCAACCGATAGTCCAGACATTGCCCTTCCATGGCACAAATTGACTTCTAGTATAAGGGTAAAACCCATAGTAGAAGGTACCGTGGGGGGAAGGGGGGTATATTTACGGAAGAGCCACGTTTTTGATTTCGCTTATAAAGAGTGAAAGTGGGCAGAACGAGAGTTAGCTCTTCATAGTTTAACGGTTCACGGACAAAGGAAGTTTTGGAGGAAAGAAGTAAATTTCTGTTGAAAGAAATTTGATTAGGCTAGCCAGCTACATGCTTACAAGATGAACTTGCAAAAGTTACGGGTAAGATGCTATTGAGTCAAGCCCCGGATGATGGAACATGATCCAATAGAGAAACAAAAACCTCGGTGTTCTCGTGTTGTTCATATACCAGGAAATTCGAAGATGGGAGGGAAACGAGAACAGCAGAAATAGCAGAAAACTGCTTTCACAACGCTACAGAATGTTCGGATTCATAATGTGAGGAGAGAACAGGGATCTATGGTCCTACGGTCAACTTGGAGTGTCTAACCCCGTTTGGCCTCGATAAAGTAGGCTTGGTAAGGAGTTTATTTTATGTTAGCTAGCAGATTGATGTGCTGATTTCCATCGTCAAATACTGCACGTGCTATTTCCACCAGCCATGTGAGACATTATTTTTCTACATATTTCACGAATGCCTGAGTCCAAACCGTGTGACAAGCCAATCACGCTACAAGAGTCTTCATAGAAAGAAAAAAATCCATGCTTTGCTCGTCTGCTAGGTTGTCTACGCCAAAGCAGATGTATTTTCTTGGGCAATCCACAATCAGAGGCTTTATCTAGCGAAAGCCTGGCCCGCAAAGTAGCGGGGCGATGTGTGAAAACCGCTCTTCATTGGAGGTCAGTGTCCATTTCATCGGATCATACGTACTTTAGACGGAGTCAAATGTCCAAGGTGCCCAATGGAGCTGGTGACCACTGCCACAACCAGTGTGTGTGTGTGTGTTTGGTTCGTACACCTCTTCCTGGTCTGTAGTCAACTCCTTTTGGTGACCTGCCAGTAGTTTATCGACCTGATTATATTCTCGGATGCTGGCTTTTCGTCTTCTCACTTTGGTGTGAAAACACCGCCATAGGAAGTTAGTGAGCAGGGCTTTCTCAGCAGAGGCTATTTTAGACGCTTGTTCCAATGAAGCGTTTCGTATGGTCTAAGGGAGCGATGATCTGCCGCAACCCGAGAATCCACCCCGATCATACTGAGACCTTCGGAGGTATAACAATCCACACTACCTAACCTGTTGTGAATTCATAAAAGGCTGTGCGAATGAGTTGAACATCATGCACAGGAAGTGCGACACGACTACATCTACAGTTCATGATTGTTATCATGAGAAGATCCCTTTCAATGCTTATTTCGAGGCATAAATCATTCCATTCCAGTCGTTATTCAACTCCAGTTTTCTATTGTGGAACGAAAGCTACGCGTGAAGGACGTATGCATCCAAGATATCAGAATGGGTTGAATTGTGGTGGTTGCAATGGTGATTAAACTGTCTATTTCACAAACACGGATTCCTATAGCATGTGTTCAAATCCCACTATCATCGCTCAGCTTTTTGTCCCCTCCGGTAGTCTAATTGTATTCACTATTCTAGAATACACGCTTTTTTGTTCGGCGAAAGCAAGTAAACAATTGAGAATCGGCTATCGGAATTGAGCTGTTTCCTTGACTAGTCATTGTTGGAATGCCTGTGAATAACAGCCTTTTTGTTTCTTTCCGATTGGTGTTTGGGAACCGTTCATCTCAGTGAATAGTATTATAATTGGGTTTTTTACAGTGATCAGGATTGCTTGGTGTGAGAAGAGACGAACCTCAGGTTCATGTGGATCCACCGTTTGCGTACATGAGTACTGGCAGCCTGAGTCTTGGAACCGGGAACAGTGAACTAAGTACATCTTCAACCGGATAAGCAGGAGACTCAAGTGTGGGAGCAAAGCCGCTTATACTCTAGACAGAAGGTTCGTCCTGGGACAGTTGTCGGTTTCTGTCATGGTGACAACAAACAGTATTAGGATGTTAACATGGCTCTTCACATCGTATCCCTACTGTCTATGCTGCTAATTGTTAATTTATTTTTAGACAACACAAAAAGGTTAGGTTGAATTCGAAATTCGCAATTGGCTGTTCCGTTAGCTAAGGCGTATAGATTGAAACTTGTAATAGTCACTGATCGGGTCCCAACGATAAAATGTGAAACTCCTAAATATATGGAATTCTCACATTAATTTTGCGACCCTTTTCGTATCGATAAATCCACTGTTCTCTATTTAACTTTTCAAATGCTTCACACCGTACTCCTTTCAAACTTTTCACAGATTATACAATGGCGATTGTCTGGACTTGATGCACGAGTACCTAATGCGATTGCACCAACTCGCTCCATCGCTTTGCTCTTTATCCGGGCGTTCGGTACCAAAGCGCCACTCAGCCACCGGGGAAGACAGCAAGAACCGCACGATTGTCCTTACTCCATCATCCGCTCGACCTGCTCCGGGGTACACCAATCTTTCACAAGTGTTAGGTGCTCTGCAACTCCGTATGAGTAACTTCAGACTACCTTGTAGCCCGCAGGTGCTCATCGTCCTTCTTGGTGACTTGCATGCCGTACTTTCAAATGATGATCATTTGTTTCGCTTGTTTGCTGAGTTGTTGGACCTAGTTCGTTCGGCACGTAAACAGTTGCAATTTGAAGATGATGATGAAGCTCCAATTTCGCAATCTCAAATTCAGGTAATGGATTGATCATAAAATACAATCTTCGGTCGTTCCACGTTATTTCCACCAGTCCCTATTTATATTTAGCGACAAACGAGTGGATTCCCACGAATCGACAGTATTCTAATTATTCCAAAAAGAAAGTTGTAACGGATTAAGAAATGCTCAAGAGTAGACGAAATTCGCGGATTAGCTGTCTGTTCAAAAGTAGAGCGTTTTAAATTCCATCCCGAAAACATGTTGCGTGTACGTAGAATTCTTCTACTGTATGGCACTCGCTATATATATATATATATATATATATATATATATAATAGCTTTAACGCTATTTAGATTTGGCCCCGTGGTTATGTGCAGGCCCTGCGTGGAACTTTCCGAAAGCTGGTTACCAAAGCTTATTCCTCTCACGAGTTGGGACTTATTTTTTAACCAGCTTCATTTCACCATTCCTGCGTAGACTGAGGGCAACACAGCCACAGCCCGGAGCTTTGTGACGTCTCGAGGTATAAAGAGCTACACGGAAATTTAGGAGGGATGATGTTTCCCTTCAGATCGCGGGCCCAAAGGATTATGTAACTGCATGATTGGAGACATTGAAGGACTCAGCCATGGACAGAAAGCAGTGATTGGATCGTCGGGCTAATGGCTAGTTGTGCCCGGGTTCGACTCCCAGTCGATATGCACATCGCTGATAATCCCTAATAAGAATGAAGCAGCTGTACAATGGTTCTTCCAAGACCTCTGAGTAACACTCAGTCTCTGCAAGGTTAATACACCTCCATAAACAAACGAAATCCCTCAAACTATTCCACGTACATACTACTGTTCTGATATTTTACCGGAGTGAACATTTTCGTAAAATAAACTGATAATAGAGTGATGAGAGTCTTCGGTACACTGGCTTTATACGCGTCGATTACCTATTATAACCATTTATAACACGCCAATCCACTGAGTGCTGGTGTTTATCACCCTCAAATTATTTGAAGGTCGTGCGTTTAAAACCCAGCACCGCCTCCTCCTAACTTCATTCTTCTCTTTGTATTACATGGCATTCCTTTGATTGACCACCTCACTCTCCCCGAAAATTCGCTTGCATAATTGTGATCGGTGCAAAGCAAGTAAGCAGAATATCAAAGGAAATTGCTTAAAATCAACGGTTTCTAACGCACAAGTTTTTCAACGAGACTATCCAATGATTGCCGTTTCCTTTATCTTGAAACTGCTAAGTTATGGTAAGAGCTTTGAAGGATTTACCAGAATTTCAGGTTATTTGTAAATATGAAGTAGTCACAGTCAAGAAGCACTGATTTAATCTCGAATCTTCTCTTTTCATTTGGATCTTAAGATTCCCCTGCATGGCAACTCTGTTTTTCGGTATATCAGCGCATAGTATGCCAAAGTTCATCATCGGCCCAATGACTCCGAGAAAACGTTGGTTGCCATTGACCCACGTACTTTTTAGCTTATTGTGCGCGGATCCAAGATGGACTGGTGACGTAGGCAGTTACACTTGAACATTGTTTGATACTGATACGCTTTCTAGTTTTTTTATCCATTTACACCATGCGTCTGAAATTATAAACCGTTCCCACCACATTTTTCTATCTGCCCTTTTTTCAGGCTATGTATAAGAAATTACAGTTTCTACAAGCGTGTATCAATCCGTCCGACCCAGACGCGCAATTGTGGCGCAAGTCAGTACTAACAACACTGAAATCACAAACAACAATGGAATTGTGTCGACATGTGTCGGATTTCAATCCCGATCGTGTCGTCCCAAAAGATCCCTGTAGTCCAGCAGCCGGGCCTAATTGGCGCCACATGATTCGTTCGGTTTGTCGTGATGGAGAACCACTAATCAGAGACTTGGATGAGAAAGCACAAAGCACATAAAGCATTCTTGTGTTTGGACATGTGTCTTATCTTATTTGCACCTGTACAGTTGTACACATGTAAATGAATTATTTGCTCGAGTCAGTTTATTTTATTTTGCTTCACACACCATTATGCGCTACATGGGTCAAACGTTATTATAATTTATATGCTAAAGCGGGGGATAAACCGTCTCACCCCCCACCGTTAGNTAGGCGTGCTGTCCAAGTAGTCAGTGACGAGATCTTTTGTCATCACATTTGGTTGGCGGTGACAGTTTGAACTTCGGAACCTTTAGGTCCCAGAGCGTGCTAGGTTACCATACCCAAAATTACGTAGAAAGTAGTCTGTGTGAGTATACGTACATTGCAGCACAGAAATAACGAGAATGCATTCTGCAAATTGACGGAAAGTTCTGTTAGAGAGGAATCGATCAAAAAAAGAGTTTTCATAATCAAGTATATGGTTGTTCCGTGGAGTACTGACAAACAATACATTGATTACGCGTGAATAAGAGCGAGCATTAAAACCGAAAAGCGCTCGCTTTGCATTCGTGTGTCAAATATTTAGAGACACCAACCGATTCTGTTTACGTACCAAACTGCCATCACGTTACACGGATGTATTTATCGATGAAGCCAGTTTATATTCTCCATCATTTCTCTGTTTCTTTTCCGCCACCATTGATATCGAACTCTTCTTCTTGGGGTTCTTGTAACCGTATTCTCTCTGACTATCACTTCTATTGAACTGTTAACTCGAACTCTCTACCGCTCGAATCCATCGTAATCTTCACGCTTGTGACCACTTTATATCTCATTGTTTACCTCTTGCTCTGTATGCAACCCAACGCTGGGTGTCTCGTTACCCCCACTTTGTGCAATTCTTACATTTACCGTGTGTGTGTGGGGGGGGCTAGCTCCGCTGATATTTTTCTATCGTGAATCCAACGCCATTTTTAATACAGAATCAGCCAGGCGGTTTTAGGTTCAATAGCCTCCTTGTGCTTCTATGAACAGTATTTCTTCAGATAGAACCTTTCTAATTGTAGTTGTATTGTGTAATTAAAAATTTACTCAACTGCGATATTCGGGTTGAGAACAACCTGTACGGTTTGTTCAGAATGGGAGGATTTCTGTAGTAACTGCGAATGAGCTCCTTTTTATTTCACACGTTTTTTTGTGTGGTGAACAGCAGACGGGGCGAACCCCATAGTCATGAAGATCTGCTGCTCCGTCATGGAAACCGGTAACCTAAGCTCTGAGACTTGGAGTGGCGAACCACCGAAAGTCCAGCTAGGTTAGGCGTGTTATTGGACCGGACGACAGCAAAGCTGCCTACCACCAAATGTGGGTGGCGGGACTCGGACCATAGGGTCCAAAGCACGCCGGTGACCACCACTAGACCACTGCGCCGCCACCACCTTGGATACTTTCTGCTGGGCACCTAATTTGTCTGCATGCGAAATATATCATGGAACGGAGTTTGAATGAATGTGGAGAACATACCGAAAAGTTAGGTTCTGGTTATACCTCGAATCCTGGCTGCGTTTTGCATCCGTGAATTTGTGTAATGACGGATGCAAGGCACTGAGAAGCCACTGTTCTCGCAACTAGTTCTATCCCCGTGAGGGATAAAACTACGCGTTGACGGCAGAAACCGCTACTCCTGACGTACGCCAACAGAGATAACCCATGCTGAGACAATTTCATCAATACACCGGAGCTTTCTAAATATTTTTTAAATACCAAATTTACTTGCTTTGTTGATTAAGCAATCGCAGCATCGACAAACGGAGTGTCAACGGACAGTGATGAGTCAAATAATATATCAGGCGATTGTTGTGCTTACATATCCGTCGGTGTAATACAGACTACCATTTCTCCTTGCCTATCGTTCCGTCTCCTAGAGGATGAACTCAGAATTCTGTCGGGGATTATAGCAGACGAAATCATCTCTATGTTGGGTGGTATTGTTTCTAATTCGCGAAAGGTTTTTTTTCTGCACACGAATTTCATCATCCAATTCGGTCGAATTCGGTTTGGTACTATCCCCGCTTATAAACAACAGGACACTCATATCAAAAGAGACAAATACGCGATTGATTCTCAAGTTGAGAACAAGGAAAACACTCACTGATTCGATTAAGATAGGTTATCATTTCAAATCCACCGAGTTCATCAGTGCATGACTTGTGACCGAACGCACTCATAATAGTCAACTTAGTGTTGTGTTGGTTGCATCGACTTGAACTCCAACCTGATTGCATGCATTCTGAACACTCGATTGGCCGTGGCCGTTTTCTGACCTGCGCAAACTAGACCGAATCCGGATCAGCAAAATTGTATGTTACAAGTACACCTTTTGAGTTAACTCTGGTAGCTAGTTTCACTTTAGTACTGACTAATGAAATATTCACATCTTACTTCATCCTCCATTGAACACTGTTATTTCGAGACCGACTCTCGTGAGCGCATTTAGTCATTGTGCTAGAAAAGAACGGTCGGAACAACACGCGGAAATCGGTTTGAATGTGTCAGCTCACGACGAGTTGAATGCAAAACATTTAGTTTCTGGCGTCTCTTTGCCTTTCATATAAATTCCTAGTGGTACTTACTAGCCCTGAATAGTAAGAGACAAAAACATTTGCGACCCCATGGATAAAATAAGAAACAGTTCTATTGTCGTATGGGAGAAAATGCAACAATGGAGCGATGAAAAATGAGCTCCAGGAGAGTGGTGGGAACGGGGTATGATTATCAGATACGGGGCTGTGGTTTGGAAAATGATTTGTACAAAGAGAAAAGTGATACATAAAATTCAGGAGCACTCTGTACAGCGTGGAATAAGCCAAGAGTTCGTGGCATTTTAGAGTGGGGATCGCCAAGATCGATTCCCAATTGGATGCTCGACCAAATAGTCCGATCCGCACTCGTCGTAAAGCTGACGCGTGACATAGATGTCCACTCGATTGTCCAGCGCCAGACGCCGTGCACCATACCAAGCGCCCAGTCTAGGCGTGTCTGCGATGTGGTGGGGATGAGAATGACATATACGCATTACACTTGCCTGAAGAACCGTTCACTCGTAATATCAGGGAGAGTGAACGAAGGTGAAACAACGCACAAATAGATTGCACATGAATTGCTTCGCACACCAGTCGAATGAAGGCTCCTCGAGCAGGACGTACAAGCGCGAATCTATGCGCAACGGCAAACATGCTTTGTACAACTATTGTAGCACGTCTCGGGAAAATGACGAAATAAAGTGCATGTTATAAATTCCATTCAATCACGAAAATGTGAGTTTTCCCCACCATAGCTGGTTTAATTCATCGCTTGCGTGCATCAGTTCACTTCAGTTCTTATAACCATTAACCATGCACTTTCGTGTACCGGTTCTGGTTGCCCACTTGGATATAATAGTAGAATGATGATTACAATGTTGAGAGCAGATTTAAGCGGAAGGTATCACATTTTCATAGACTGAAGTTACAAGAACAATGAGTAGATGCATGAGCGCCACTGTTTGTGACACCCAGCCATATCGCTCAATGTCTCTAACCACCGGAAAACACGATCTCTGGGTCCCGCATCCAGGGAACCTAACGGGACCTATGTGAGCAAGTTTCCTGGTCAGGGTTTTCATACCCTCATGCCAGGTCTTAGCTTAACCGCCCTTCATTTTTTTCCAACCGCTACCTGCCTCGCCAAGCATCGCTCGCCGTGGCAACCTATCTGGTGACATGAGTAGCACATGTCCCTACCAGCGTAATCTATGGAGGTCGACTACCTGTTCCAGTGGACGACCGCGATTACCTAAAACTCTACGCCTAACCTTAGCATTGCTCGTCCGGTTTCCCCACCAGACACGTGCAATGCTACGTAGACAGCGGTGTTCGAACACTGACATTCTACTTTTATCCTGTTTCCTTAATGGCCAAGTCTCTACACCGTAAAGTAGAGCTGGTCGAACTGCTGCAGCATATACTTGACCCTTCACAGACAGCCGGATGTCGCGATGGTGCCACAGATGTCTCAAGTTGGTAACCGAGCTTTCTGTATGCGTGGCGACACTTCATTTGTGATGCGTCCGCCAGATGAGACAGAGCTGTCCAGGTAGCAAAACTTGTCTACTTTCTCTACAACTCTAACGGATGCTTTTACTTCTACCCTCAACACATCACTCAGTTCATATTCAATTCCCGATTGCTGGAGACCCGTCACGATCGGTCCCATTCCAAAACCGTGAAGATCCAGCACCCTTTCCAAACGTTTCCGTCTCATTGCTCTAACGTCATGCGGTCTTAAATTGGCTGAACGTGCCATTCTCAAACGTCTTTCTGCTTCCTTCTGTACCCCTGAAGACCATCTCCAGTTCGCTTATAAATCAAACAGGTCCACTTTGGATGCTGTTGCCTCTCTTGTTCATCACTTTACCAAATCCTTAGACGCATCTGCGA